TCATTTTATACAGTGGAAAAGTCAATTCAAAAAAATACCAACATATATTTAATAAAGGCATACTCCAAATATATGAAAATCTGTACATTTTTCAATAGGAAGATAGTGCAAGCTATCATACTTTGAAGTAAACCATAAAATATTTAAAAAGAAAAGGACATTGTAATTTTTGAAAATTGGCCAAGTTTGTTTCCTGACTTGAATATTATAGAAGTACTTATAGAAAAGTGAAAGATAAATGTCCACAGATTATTGATCACAAGATTGAGTAGGCAAATATTGATCATTCCTTTATTTAGAATTTATAGTCCTCACTATTAAAAAGAATCTTGGCTATTTAAATAATAAAGGAGCTAGTATGAAGTAATAAGGAAGTTTTATTATAATCTGTATTGTTTTTGTTTAATTTTTCTTTATTACTATAAACTGCATAAAAAAACTGCTAAAAATATTTAGTTGTTAAAACTTTTGTAGTTCTTCTTTATTACCTATTATATATTCACAATATAGAGAAAAACTTTAAATTTTGTTCTTTGATTTCTCATTTATCCTTGAATTTTAGATTAAAACTAAAATCCAATTTTCAAGTTGTATAAATTTTAATGAATTTAACACTGTATGCCTAAAATATTTGTTCAGGATTGTATGTTTCTAAAACTGACATTTTCAATGCTATAGTAACAAATTATTTATTCTTCCTGTCACTGTGCACTGCACAACTGAAGTCTGCAGATGCACCAACACATACACACACAAAAAAACACACACGCGCACACACACACAGACCTCACTGAATGAAGAAAAGTAATAATGTTTAAAATACATTGAAAATTGTCAGCATTCAGCAGTGTTTATTTTATGCAGAGCCCAAGGATGAAAGCTGTCCTTTTGTTATAGAACTAAAATGTCACCTTTAGGGCAACACCACAACAAGTGGTACTTGGGATGCATGCAGTCTTTCCTTATGTTTTTCTGCTCTGCTGCAACAAAGATAATTAGAAATCTCCTCCAAGGAGGACATTGAGCAGCTGACTGTTTTTTGGGCAATATCTATAATCCTTTGGAGGACTGTTTTGTCCATTGCCAAGCAGCTGGCACACTAAACAGTGATACCGTATGCCAGGTCATAAAAGGTCATCCGTAACTCCCTTTGTAAATTAGATTTTTCCTGACAATTCTCAGTAGAATCACTATTGTGCTTTTTTGACTAACATGATGGTATTGCTAGTCCAGAAGAGATCCTCTGCAATGCACATGCCTAGTAACTTAATTTTATCTACTTTCTCCATACAAATGCCACTAATAACCAAAGGGACAGGTGCTGTAGCATTTCTCTGAAAATCCACCAACAACTTTGTTTTTAAAGTGTTCAAAGCAAGTTTATTCTTCAAGCTCCATGCAACCATCTTTTTATTCTGTTCTTGTAGTCTGCTTCATCACCCACCGAAATGGGAAAATTAATAATTATATAAAATATTTAAGCAAAATTTTCAAATGATGACCAAATTAGAGCATAATTGAATCAATTTCATCATCAGTATGTTTTTTTTAATAAGAATTCTCAAGATTTCAATTTAAGGGTTTTTTTTTTTTTTGATAAATTTCAAGAGACTAATATGAAGTTCTAATTAAAATTAATATCAAGAAATAACTCAGATCAGTTGCTTGTGCCAGCAGATAATCTATTTTACATGAAACTATACTGCTTATCATACACTGATGGTTGACTCATCCATTTTCTTATGTTGATTCTGTCATTTTTGTTTATAAAAATATTATGCTGGTGATCACAAAAAGCACCAACATAATTGGAGATATGAAATTCAAAGAAGCAGCCATGAAAACAAAAATATCATTGAAGCAACATCTAAAAATAACCAGTTCCATGAATGGAATAAGCAACCAAAATAAAAAAATAAAATAAACTGCAGAAAATTCATTAAGCCAAAGGTTCATTGCAGTGTTTTGTGTACTAAATCACCCCTGAATACATAAATTTAGAAACAAGCCAAGTGCCAATACAAGACAACTTAATGTAAGAACATCTTTTCTGTTATATCCCCCAATTGTGATTAAAGCATATTGTTTGGTTTCCTGTGAAATATTTAAAAAAATAGCAGAGGCTTCCCAGAAAATAATGGCCAGCCTGGGCAATAATAGATTGAAGATCCCTATGCTTATGGAGAAGGAAGTGTAATTGAGACCATGGCTAGAAACCATTAAAAAAAAAAAAAAAAATCCAGAATTTTTAGTTTGACAGAATATAAGAAGAAAAGCTTAGTTTATGATCATTTGGATGAAACAGCAGATGAATGGATTGGATTTTATTTGGAGGAGCAGAATGGGGAAACTGGGGATGCAGTTGTAGAACAACTTAGTGAACATTATGGGGATTTTGCTTGCATCAAATAGGTGGCTCATCATGCAGGGGTTGGAATACAAAAAAAGGACAGCAAGTCTCTGTCAGAATTGGATAGAAGAATGCTAGGCTTGGCTAAGTTAGCTTATGGAGAGGCACAGCAGAAGAGACAATGTGGTGGTCCAAGTATAATCGATAAAATATTATACTGATGCTTTTAAAAGTCCCTATCATAAAGAAAGATATGATGAGAGATGCACTGGTTAATTTGGATGCTGCATTCACTTTAGCAAGAAAGAACAATAATTGTTGGATAGTTAAGGAAAATGCAAGGGCTAGTGGCAAAGTGACTGGAAGGTTATGGGTGTGTTACAGCAGTGGTAAAAGGTAGCATGTCAGATTAAGGTGGCCAAATTAACAGAATGGGAGGAGGTGGCAACAAGGTGTTGTTTGCTGTGAGACAAATGTTATAGGTCAATTGCAGGGTTGGTCACATTGGTGTGTTGGCTGTATAAAAAGCAAAAACATGAGAATGATTGTCCAGAAAAAAAGTGTTTGCTCCATGGCGATCAATTAGTGTGAGCCACAATGCATGAAGTATAATCAAATATTGCAGAGTGATAAAACATGTCCATACTTAGAGTGGGAAGAGGCAATAAGAAATTGGTCACTATATATATATATATATATATATATATATATATAAATAAAGTAAAAAATGCACTCAGATCATCTAAAAAAGATTTTAAACTTTGAAGGATTGCACCAAATGGAGTTGGGGTGTGGGGAGGCTAGCAGCTAGGAAGGAAATATTTTCTTGCATGTGTGGAAAGATTGAACATTTACTAAAATAATATTGGAAAATCATTTGATGGAAATGTAATAAAAAGGGCCATATGACAAGTGACTGTGATGACAAAAGTGGAAGAGAAAAAAGTGTTGGGTGGAATGATGATAAAATTCATTGCAGGCAAAACCAGGAATTTCTGTGGGGACTATATAGAAAAAGAGAAGAAAGTTTGTGTGTTGGTGTGTGTTAGAATTCTGGCATGAGGAAGAAAATCGTATTATTATTGCTTATTGAAACTGTTGACATCAGACACAGCGTCATCGAAAATGGGCATCTGGTGATAAGAGGATTTTAAGGCATGAGAAAAATAAAGAATTTGATTTTCAGGTAAAATACTGACCTCCCAGCTAAAAGTTGACTTAGGAGAAGAAACCATGTGTCGGGTTTTGACAGTGATTGATGAGTAGGTAGAGAGACCCGACTAAGTGAATTTTGGGTGTCCCCAAAAGAAAGATGTGATAAGAATTATTTGGCAATCTGGGGTTTGTAAAAAAAATGTTTTGGCCGAAGAAAAAAAGAAAAAAAAAAGGATTTTGTAAACAAAATTCTGGATAATAATTTTAAGAGGGCAAGTCTAGCCACACCCACACTGCCAAGAGATCATTGGTCAAGTGGTAGCATGGGTGATAGGTAGAGGTGAATGTATGAGAAAGACGGAGAAGTTGTTAACACCCACTGAGATACCAATGTGAGAGAGGAAGAGTCTAGGAGGATAACTCTCCTCCGACTTTCCCTCACGACGAGGGAGAAACCCCCAAAATGGAAAGTGATTAATCTTCCAAAAATGGGAAGTAATTAATTTTCCTGGCCTAAGAACAAAGAGAATTCTTGCTGGGAATCGAGAATTATTGGGAACCCAAGCCACGTCAGGCTCCACACCGGGTTTTGGTCGGTATCCATATAAACGAACGTCTTGAGGCAGCTGATCAGTTTAGCAGGAGTTCCAGCAGTTGATTCGCAGTTGCAGTCAGACAGTTGCCTTGCAGAAGCTGACCGAGAGATTTCCAAGTCCTTTTCGACTTCCTACCAAAAGCAAGTTATATTGACGAACAACTTAAGATACCAAAACTCGCTTAAGAAACAGAAAAGTATCACAAATCTATAGAAATGGGCTGGGAGAGAAACACACTCATGTATATAACAGACGGATAAAGATAATTTGTTATTTCTCAACATATTTGAACCTCTTGAGTTTTGTTTTATTGCTTCTTTTACTTATGCTTGTGCGATATCACCTTTACCCCGGATTCAGCTTGCACTACGGCCCAACGCCTGATTGATTTTGTCTACCTAAGATCAAAGTCACAACAGGGGTAGGTTAGACTCAAAGTAGTTACTTCAGTAACCAGACATTGGAAGTGAGCTGGGAACGACAAAGCTGGTATTAAACCGAGAACAACCAGATCGACCGGGACACAGGCTGGTAGCAGCGACACAGAGTCAACCCCAAATGCTGGTGGAAAAAAAACCTTACATCTTCGCACCGCAACTGGGAGTTGACCATGGGCCGACAGTGCAGTGTCACATATTGGAGTCGTGACCAGAGGACGTCACATATCGGCGCTGTGACCACCGGTGGGTGTCACAATATTTTTGGATTATAATAATTTTTAGAGAGAGTAATGATTTACTGAAACAAGTTCAAATATTTAACCCATAGCAAAGATGAGAAGTGGATTCATATCTTTCCCCAGGGTATTTGTGCATAAGTGAATCCAACTTTAATTGTAACTCAGCTCTCCGATTTCCAATTGCCAGCCATTATCCATTACACCACCCACACATCAAAGTTTACAGCACCTGGTATTACCAAGTGGTAACCTATCTAGGTACTAACCAGGCTCAATGTTGCTTAACTTTGGTGATCAGATGAAAACAATTGACTCTTTGTACTGCTGTTCCACGTAGCAGAAAGTTGGACATCCTACTCCCCAATGGACAGGTGGGAGCTGTGTCTCAAATAACTCTCTTACTTGAATGTCTATCAGATACAGAGTAACTGGAACTGCTAAAGATGGTTCAGTAATATTACTTATAATATTAACAAAGAACACTAATAATATGGTACACCTGGTGAGGAGTTGGGAAAGGCCGTAGTAACAAATTTGAAAGCCCATTTGGGATAAGAAAGAAAAAAAAACACAACACAATTAAAAAAGAAAGTGGAAATTAATGAGAGAGAGATAATTACTCCTGAAAGATGAATGAAGGACACGGCACTATTATGAAAAATAAAAAATAGAATTTTCCAGTAAGGCACTGGAAAGGACCTAGATAGCAATAATCAGAATAGACACGAGAGAGCACCCACCCATAAAAATGAGAGCATATTGAACACCAATACACAAGCAGGGATTTATGGAGAACAATTCAAGAAATGATGGAGGCTAGAATAGTGAAAAGATTCCAATCTACTTGGAGTTTCCCATATATTGTTGCTGTCAGAAAGGACAGAGTATGTCAATTTTATTAGATCATGGCAAAAGTTTGTGCCCAATTAGAAAATTAAAAACAATGAAAATCTGGTACAAACTTTTGCAATGATCTAGATTTTAGGGTCTTAAATATCACAAAGCTCCTAGCCTACCCCTTACTTTTAACTGACAATATATAAATCCTGTTAGGAAAGGCAACATGCTTCTTAACAGTTAATTTAACATCAAGATATTAGCAGGTAATAGAAAACTACCTTTCCATGTCATAGTGTTGTATCAGTTCCGAGTGATGTTTTTTGGGTAGGTTGGTTGGTGCACCTGGATTTTTTAGCAGTTAATGTCACAAAAGGTTCAGTGATAGATGATATATTGGTTTTTGCAAGTGACTTAAGAGCATTTTCACCATTTACAAGTTGTGTGACCTAATGCAGAAGTATGGATTGAAATTAAAATTGCCAAAATGTCAGTTGCAGAAAGAAGAGACCAACTATCTTGGCTTCATTATCAATAGAGGAAAAGTGAAACCTGGTATGGACAAGGTGGAAACAAGAAACAAGCAAATACTAGAGTCTCCTACTATAAGAAAGGTCACAGGATTTACAGACACCATAGATTATGATAAAAGGTTTATAGCTGCATTTACCTATGACAAGTAGTAAAGGTGTCCATATGCCTAGGGAAGACATCATATTTTAAGAACACTCTCTCCCATATTAGAAAAAAAAAAGAACAAAAGAATAGCCCCTATTACTACTGCAATACTGGTTACCTCAAAGTTCTGTAAAATTTATTATCTTTTTTAGTGAACTTACAACCGTATGTGTAGATACCATAAATAAAATTGTTATTGAAAATTTAATGTTAAATATAACAGCTTTGTTGTGTCTTGAAAGAAATCCTAAGAACCAATTTTTTTTTTTATTTGATCATCAATCAACTAGAATTCCACTGAAAACCAAGAGATTTCATTGTTTACAACATGGATTGAGTTAATCTTGATCTTCAGATTGAACGTACTGGCAAGAAGAACATTTCCATTTCCAGAAACTTAGGCAATGGTTAGGTACCAAGATTTTGGCTTAACAAATTCTCACAATGACCAATTATCAGAAAGACAATCAATTAATCAGAGACTAATAGTCAGTGGCTATTGATTCATTTTAAAAATCCAATTTATAATATTTACATTTTGTGTATGTGAAAGTAGAAAAAGAGTATTATATACACAAAAATAACAAATATGTTTTGAAATACTGACATTGACATTATATGGAATTAAATGCTTTTACCATTAAAAAAAACAAAAAAACTTGCCTTTTAACTTTAGGTGGAAATTATTGACAATAAAAATATATCAAAAATTAAATTTACAGCTAAAATTGGGCATATTGTAGACTGTTATTTGTGTAACTAAATAAAGAAAAGCAGACAAATCTACAGTTACTAAAATTTTAAATCATACACTATTTACTAACAACCAGATAAAATTTAGATGCAGAGAGAATAAAAATTCCAGTACAAACTAAAAAAAAAACTACAAAGAAAGAAAAATGCATTTCTGTCTAAAAGTATATTCTGTTATCATAAAATTGTGTAAAGCTAAATGTTTGCATGTCCCCCACCTTACATCAGTAAAACAGGCAAGCCCATAATGCTAACATGTATTATATACTATCAGTTATTTATTTTTATATGTTACTAACAAATAGCATTTACAACATAAGCAATAATATTTAATTTACATAACAATTTTTAAAAGTATATTTTGATAAATATTTCATCTGTGCTGTTTACTTTTATTCAAATTTTAAAAATTTCCAGATATAAGCAATTTTTCTGTCAATAAAGTTTTTTTTTTTATTCCATTAGGCTTGTATAGAAAAAAATTTATGTCTGCCTTGTCAAAACTGAGTCATAAATTAGAAAAACTATAGCATTTTCATCTGACGTTTCACATTAGTACTAATTAGTTGAATAAAAAAAACTTAGTAGAATAATCTAAATAAGTAAAAATAATCTGTATTAGATTTTCTTAAAAATATACCAATGAAAAAATAGTAACTGAATTAATTATTGTTGTGGAGTAAAGAGTATACCCCCAGTGACTCTATGAACTTGTCCAATAATGTGTTCACTGGTAGGAGGTTAGGAGTAAGTCATATTGGAGTCAGTCTTCATACTAACTATACAGGCATTACGGCAATAGCCTAAGAATCACATATAGAGAATACTTAACGAATTACATTATACCAAGTATGAGTGCGTGTTATAACAATAACCTTACAATAGGAAGTTATAATAATTATTATTATAATAAACATTACAAAATTATTCAAATGTTTCTTTCATAGTCAGCTCTATGTAGCTATGTTGAGAGTGGGAAACTCAATTGGACTTAGTATAATGACAAAAGGAAATTTATAAAATAGATGTTTTACTGAAAACATTTATACAGAAATTTTAGAGAGGTAAGAGAACTTCTATGACAACTTACTTTTCTTTCTTTGTAGAACAGGTATTTGTCGCATTAAATAAAAAATAAAAAAGTTTGAAATGATGTATCAAGTATAACCAACCAGAGGGAAAATTGCTTTTCATCATTTTATAGTACTGTTCATAAATTTCATTTCAAATCAAATTCTTAGTAAAAGTTTGCACTACTCACCATCCCACATCCTGGAGATGAACATCCAAATGGCTTCTCATCTTCACTCATCATCTAACACATGGGCATGTGAAAGATGAGAGGAGATCAACAACTAAATGATGATGGTCCTAAAAAGAAATGCAAATTATAGCAAGAAACAGTTCAAGAAAAAGTTTATTTTATTTTCATTATATAAGAGCCAATAGCATTTATTTGTTAATGCAAACATATATAAAATTAAATGAGCTCTGCTCTGATTTAAACTGCCAACCTGAAGGGGAAGCAAGCAAGTGATATACCAATAAGCCAGCATATTGCTGCTGAAATATTTGGGTAAAATTAGCTTTAGTATACTAACTTTGGTTTCCTTAGTTTTGTTTGTAAATTTGTTATTTCTGTAGGTCATTTATATCTATATCTTGTTTCCAATAATATTAACATGCCAACTCATTTAAAACAACAAAAAAACTAAATTTACCATTTTTTAAGAGGGTCAGATCACAGAAGTTTGAAGCAAACATTGCCAGCATCCCCTCTTGCACAATGTTAGGGAAATTTTTGGAGAGTTTATAAAATTTACTCAGCTCTGTTGTTTGTGCAAGTTATCAATTGTTGTATGCTGCTTACAAGATTTGAGACATAAATTCTGAAGCTACAAAAAGAAAATCAGTCAACATGTCTCTTTCTTAAGAAAGAAAAAGGCATTTCTGAATGCTGCATTGAGACAAGAAAGAAATCTTGGAAAAAAGTTAACTAGTGATTTTTCTACATGATAACACCACATGTAGCAAATCTGACACAGCAAACAATCAGGAAAATGAAACCAATTCTTCTTTATCTGCTTTATTCTCCACATCTGACACTTTGGCTTCAGACAATACTCCTTGTCTGAGCAATAGTTCCAACAAATTGAAAACACTGAAAAATATCTTAATGCAATAAGGTGATAAAAAAAAAAAAAAAAAATGAATAATGAGGCTACTAATTTATACGAGTAAAAGGTTTTTTTTTTTTTTTTTAACTTTTGAAACCTTTTACATGAACTTAGTATTTAATGATTATACATTGTTTAGTAATGCAATTATTAAACATTAATAATGGTTATAATTCCAGTGATGGTCAGACAAGAAAATAATATTTTAGGTTATTCATTGGAAATAGACAAACAACTTCAACATTAATTTTAGCATTAGAGATCAAAAATCTGAATTGTTTTTATATAGGATTGGAAATATGGAACACAAATCATTTAATTTTCTTTCAAAGCTGATTCACACCATGAGTAAACAATGTATTTGAGAAATTGGTAAACATAATAGAAATAATCAATTACCTTTGTTTAAGTAAGTAAAATAGGTAAGAGAAAGTCTTGAAATTGGACCATGCTGATTTGTTATTTTTCAAAATAAGCTATAACACTACAGGTGAGAACAGATGTTACATACTGATTTAAAACAATAGGAAAATTCTTATATACTTATTATAGGCAAACATTTCCACCACCAGAAATTATGATTTGTATTAGATTATGGTACAACAGTATTAAAAGAATAGATTTTTTCATTTACATTTAAGAGGATAAACATATCTAATGAGCTTCATCAAGATTGCCATTAAAAATGTTATTTTAAATTATATTCCTGGTAAAAGTAGACTAATGTTTACTTTTGTTTTAAAAAAAGAGAGAGAATGATTATATACATAGAAAACATTATTACAACTACAAATAACTATTTGGAAATTGTTATTGACAATATATGTTAATTTCTTTTTCTTCTAAAAGTAAAACACTATTATAAGTAGGTTAAATTAGACTTAACACAAAAAAGTTTACAATTGCATTTTCAGACTAAAATCTAAATAAATTTTTATTTTAATCTAGTTAGCATTGTTAGAAATTCCTCTTTGTCTAAAAAGGATTATTTGTAACTTAGAAAAGTTGATCATTAAAATTAATTGAAACAAATTGTCATTTTCATAGTATTTGCTTTAAAAGAACATGTGCTGCCTAAATACACAGAATATATATCTATGATATACTCTTTCAAACTGCAAAAAGTACCTTGTCCCAAATATATGTGCACAAACTCAGTATCATTTGTACAGGTGATTAGAAATTATTGTTTTCAGTGCTGTCAGGTCTTAATGAAATGTCCCTGACAGGAGTGGGGGTGATTTGCAAAAAGGCAAAACTGTAATCAAATGATTAAGTATTGCATTTTGTATATATTTTACGTAAAAACCAGAAAATGACAAAGAGGAACTGCTACATATGGTGTATCTTTAACACCATCAAATATGTGATAAGCACTTTTTGGGATTTTTTTTTTTTTTTTTTTTATCTCCACAAGACAAAAGTCACAGAAGAAAAGCTAAAAAGAAATATCAAACAATGGATTTTTATTTGAACTTTTAAAACAAAGAAAAAACCTTTTTAGTAAAAGATTCATGAAATGAAAAATTCTGAACACTGCTGACTGGAAAATAATCAGAAGAATAAAAAGTCTAATTACTTAGATAAAAAAAAAAAGGGAGATGACTAATAGTTAATAGAACAGGTTTTATAGAAAGGGGGAAGAGAGAATGCAACCAATTCACTAATTCTTCACTTATAAATGCACAAATGAGGAAGCCATGAACAAAAATGCAATGCTGCCTGTCTTTATATCAATTCTTATATAATTGATTAAATCTCTGAAATACTAGCCTGTGTTCATATGAATTAATGAGTATACAGATTAGAAATTTGATATATTATTCTTTCCCTTTGTTTTGTGTCGCTATAAAGTGTCTGCTTTCTTTCCCTCCTTGCTGTTGACCAGTATCTATCATTATTTCAAGTCAGAAGAATGGCTATACTCTCTAATATTACACTGGCTTGCACTTATTTACTGTAATCAATATGAACTATTGACATCTGCTTATTAAGCATTGTAACACCCTATGTAATAAGTTGAAATTGAATTTATATACCCAAAGCCATAATTTTGCTTAAAAAATGTATTTTTGTTGCTTTTTTAATTGTGTACACGAGAATTAATATATGCTGAAGCTAAAGAAGGCTATAGCATTTTAATAATTCTTTAATTTAAATATTTATTTTGTTTTTGTAATGTTTCTGAAAATATTTAACCTACTAATTTTTAGATTAAAATGAATTGTTTGTGTTTTATAAATTACATACATACACAAGCAGAGCAGAAATAATATGGCAGCCAATAACATAATAGGAAGTAAAAAATTATTATAAAAGAAACAATAGTGACTTCACAAAATTAACAAAATCATTTTAACATCTTATACAAAATCATCAATCCACATATGAAAACAATAACTTGAAAAAAACTTCTAATACAACACTGGTCCAAAATGCATTTAACTCTTTATTTTTCACAGAATAATACACCTTTCTATATAAGCCCAAAAGATTATCAGAATAATAATTTTTTTAAAACCTATTATTTTATAAACATATTTTGTATTGAATAATATAATTGGTTTCTGTATTATTTCTCCACCCCATCTTGTATATTGGGCCTGTGTGTACACAATATTTTTCTTGTTACATGGCTGTTTATAACTTCTTATCAGCTTAAAAATAAGCTTATCAACTTTATTATATTTCAATTCTAATTAACTATATTTTTTAATTTTTATACATAGAGACTAAATGAGTTATAAATGAAATCAAAACAATAGTTAGCTTTAGTAATAAATAATGATATACTTTATGTTCTCAACAGTTTTTATAGAAAGTAAATTGGGTAGCAATACTGTGATATACACTTGTTATCAATAAAAGTTTTACCAAAGACTGAAAAAAGATTTGGTCATTGATGACATATATATATATATATATATATATATATATATATATATTGGAAAGTTGACACAAACTTAGAAAAGTGTTATTTTTAATGAGAGTCATGATCATTCGTGCCCAGATCAGTGCAAGTAAAATAATTCAATAAACTTTACTTAGGTAATCAAGAGATAAATAACTAGATTCATTACAAAGGAATAAAATTCACTTTTCATCACTATATCTAAAATCACTTACATAGTAAATCAAGATAAATTGTTTGTCTTTGTTTAAAAAGTACAAGGTCAACTAGCTTTATGTCCACTCCTAGATGCATGACTGAGAAGATTAAAGCACAGTGTCATGGATGCACATAAAATGCAGTCTAATTAGTTATACATTGTTGAAGCAAATAAAATCAGTCTAACTTCCCAACAAGATACAATAAATCTTACTGCCGATGCGGTTATTCAATTTATTAACCAATATTTACGAACACAAAAAGGTAGAGGTAGTTTTCTGATTGAAACAAGCTGTTTTTTATTAATCTATATAAAATTTGAGTCTTATCACTTCTTGAGTGATGGACCAACTTAAATGCGATAACTTCAAAATTCTTAAAACAACAATCAATAAAACTTATGAAGAAGTAGGGATAATTTATACCATGTTGAAAGAAAATCAAATACATAGGTAAATTCCAAGAATGAAAGAAATGGGACTGATAAAAAATTGCCAAACACTTTCCAAAGTTTAACCAAATAACCAATCATTAGATTTTGTGGAATCCCTTTTTGACTGGATCTAGAACTTTTAGCAAATGATGTCATGAATACATATGCATGTAGAAATGAATTATGGGACTTGCCAAGTACAAATAGGTATAAATCAATAATCAATTCACTCATCTGGACAAATTCTTAAATTTTACAGATTGAAAGAGCAAAAGTTTTACTTATGTTAACCAATGAGAAGTCATTTATCTGTACCAATTCAATTTCTTTCTAAAGTTACTGATTATAAATTAGCATTTATAAACAAAATGATCAGGTACAGATCATTTTTTCCATGTAGTAATACATCATTTGAATAGCAATTTAAACTTCCTGGATTTTATCCACTAGTATTATTTCTCTTTCCTACAATTTGACAATGTTTTAAATCATTTTTAGAGGTAACAATGTCTATGTTTAATATCAAACTGGATGACAACATTTAGTTAATAGCTGCACTCATCTCTTTTTCTATTATGATAAAAAATACATTACTGCTCAGACAACCATAAAGAGCATAAAAATTTGGATTCTAGAGGAATGCCTAAAGGCAACAAAAAATAATTACCTGATCTCAAATTATGGTAAAATAGATGTAAAAATAAATTTTGCAATGTATTTTTTCTATTTGTAATTCATATATAAAAAGTGAAATGTGCATGAACACTAAAAAAAATGAATTTATAAGGTAGCATTTTTGCTTGTTCAATTATTGAATTAGAATTGAATAATCAATAAATATAAAAATAAATATAGTATCAAATCTTACTATATAAAAGAAAAAAAAAGCTTATGGTTTTAAGAATTCCAATAGACAATATTTTTGTTATTGTTTTACGATTCACATTCAAATTAAGATTTATACTAGTTTACATTTTCTAAAATTTTATATAAGCTTTAAATTTAGATATAATTAATTTCATTAATATTTTGAATCAATTAAAAATAAATTTAAATGTTTGATCATTCATTTTTTTTTTTCATATCAGTTAAATTTGGAACTAAATAGTGAAATTTTCAGAACCTTTGCTCAGCAGCAGAAGATAAATACCTCAGTTTGCCTGCCGCAGCTAGTTCTATACAAAATGGGTTGTTTCATAACATAGCAATAAATTGATTCATAACAGTTTTGTCTTAATTTTCAAACGTTACATTTGACTGAGCACAACTGTATTTCATATATTTCTAAGGAATCAATAATCCAAGTACTTCCTACTACTCCAAACATTATTTTGTATATTACCCATGTTTGAGTAGACGCCCTGGTTCTTTAAATATTGTGAATTAAATCTACTGGACTGTGCATTTGAGAGACTTAATAAAGAAAATATGCTCTCCAGCAGGGTTTGAACTTGCATCCCCCTTTTTGGGAGAAGCCACCATCTGATCTGGCATTCTTTAGACCAGCAGTCCTCAACCTTTTTGCATCACTAAACGGGTGTCTTGTAAGATAATTTTTCCACAAACTTAGAAGGGGGGGAGGGTGTGTCAGCCATGCACATAAAGCACAATAAACAAGACAATAAAATGGGAAAAAATGAAGTTTTTATTCTTTCTGTGCAAATAGTCCAAAGCCTACTTTCTGTGGTCAGACAGCTATCTCCTCTGTATGTCCTTTCTTAAATAACTGTGAATGACCATTAGTTCTACATGGCTTTGAATTCACAATAGTCCTTCTCCTAGACTGCTTGTTATCCAAGGCTAGAGAGACCTATTTAACCCATAGCTGAAGGGAGAAGAGAAGCTCAACAGTGCAAAGTGAACATAACAGGCTCAATCAGAATTTGAACTCAGAATGCCAATTCCACTTTCTGTGCCAATAATCTCTACTCTACCCACACATTTTCATTGACTTACAACTTTATAATTAAGAACAGAAAAAATAATATTATCAAGACAACTGTATTCATACATTTTTTATAAGATATTAAACAGAAAAAAGCTGTTTTATTTACAACCAAATAGCATTGTAACAAGAGAACTATTTTCTGATGATTTTTTCCTGACATTATATGTAGGAGTGCTGAAAAGTTCTTGGTTCAAACCCCTCAAATCTGATGAAATGATAAAGCATCAAAATGTTTTTTTTATATTTGGTAGAACTGAGAATTTTTCAGTAATCATAATAAACTGTTATTAGTATCTAAAATCTATTGTTTTGAGAGATAAGAACAACATCAAAGAAAAAAACAAAACAAAACAAAAAAAAACTCTTCACACAATCATGACAAGTTCTGGACAATATGAATAAAAGATAAATATGTCATGAAATTTGCAACTCCTCAAATTATATCAATACTATTTATAGCTGTTAAGGATGCAGCTGTTAGAGAAATTCTAGACTGGCTAGCTAATTAAAATTTGTTTTGTATTATATTGCTACTTCATATTGCTATAATTAGCATAAAACATACAAACCAGCTCTTGTACACTTTTTCATTAAATAGATCCTATATTATTATTACAATCTTCATTTACTTACAACCACATCACATTGAAACACCAGTTCCTATATGATCACCAAAGTTAAGCCACATTGAGCCTGTTCAGTGCCTAGATGGATGACTGCTTGGGAATACCAGGTGCTGTAAGCATGGATGTGTGGGTGGTTTGATGGATAGTGGCTTGGAATTTTTAATCAGAGAACAGTTACAATTCCCATTGAGTTTGTTATATTCACTTACACACAAATACGCTTGAGGAAGGTATGAATCTACCTCTTCTCCCCCAACTATAGATTAATTAGTAAGACGTGTATCACTAACCCACTGTTATCTTAAAAAAAATGTTTACAATTTAAAAATATTTTCTAGTTTTAAATAACATGCAAAGTGTTGATAAACCATAAAAAAGGAACCAACAATCTTCCTTTCTTTAATTATTCTTGTTTTGCATTGAAATTTTTCATTTTCTATAAGTATATTTTTATCTCTAGAATTATTGAAATATGGGCATTCCCCATCTGCATTCTGTTAATTTCTACCTGGATACAAAAGGCAGTTTTTTTTCTTTAAATAAAACTAATAATGAAAGAGTAGACTTCTCACTTTATTTTTTAAGAAAATTTTATTATTTGCATTTAAAAAGTTATTAAAATGAAATGTTTATGTGGACAAGTCTTTAACAAGACTTTACTTTATTTCACATATCAACAGTTTATCAAAAGCACGTAAGAAAAAAAAACTTATTCAAAAAATGTACATACATTTTTATTGCCAACAGATTTTTCTTTAAATATTCCTATTGATATATAATTTTTCCCTCCAACTGTTTAAAGGTAACACTTAAAAGTCAATGGATAAAACAAAAACCAAACTAACTTCAGTTCTAGCCTTTACATATAATTTATTGTTCTAAAAACTATGTATAAAATTTCATTATTAAATGGTTATGATTATGATATGAATCTATCTCAAAACTAATGTAGAGAGAATTATCTAGAATATTAAAGTAAGAAAAAATATTCAAATGTTCCTGATACTGTAGGCTTACTTTAAGCTTAATCTAACTGATAGTCCATGACCTGAAAATTGTCCACACATTTTATATGCCACATTATTCCCACTAAAAAGAATACAAGTCATGATTCATAATTCAGTCTATGTATGCTATAGAGTTAGTATTTCATAGTGTACAAATGTCCATGATATATGACAACACATTCAATATAGATAACAAAAATTTTCACCAATACATTGTGGGTTAAGTTACATCCCACTTTCGAAGTGTTGGTATCTGTATTGTGAGTCATTTCTAATACCACTTTTTCTTATCTTCATATATTGAGAAACACAGAGGCTTATAACCCTCTCCGAGCATTTTGTTTTGTACCCAGACAGATCAACAGATGGCTAAGTAGTTCAAAGTGAAAGAAAAAAGAAATGTGCCTCAAAGAATTAATAAATATAAACAGGGAAATATTTGTACATACCAACATTAGGACAATAAACTCATTTACAAATAAGAAATAAAGAATTTATACAAAACAAGTATTTTGATATTGGTAGGATTATCAGATTTTTATTTTTGATATTCACATAAGAAACATTAAAATATTAATAATTACATTAAAAATTATTCAATAAGTCAAAATTTAATTGATTGTTACTGCTTAGTTTCATGTGCAAAAAATATAAATTTGCATCTTAGAAAACTCATTGCCCTAAATACAGGATGGATTCAAATGTTACTTTTCTTAAAGAAAAAAAGATTTAAGGACCTATTAAAAATATTAAAGAAAGTAATCAGCAACATTAATGAAAATTCATATTGTCTTATATTTCCAATTTGGTATGTATTTTAAACTTTAATTTTAAGCTAAAACATTAAAAAATAAAACAAAAATAAATATTTCCCATGCTATACAAAACTTGTAAAAAGAAAAAAAATTAACACGTTAACTGCTAGAGGTCAATTACAAAATCTGACTTCAAGCACCAACTTCATAAAAGCCAACTTAGGCAATAAATTTTTTTTTATAAGTTGATTTTATGAGTTGCTTCAGCTGAAGCTTTGACATTGTTTCCACCTTAAAAGTATCATTGCAAATAAAACTCATTGTTCGTTACCCACAGATGAAAATGTATGAGACGAATGTTAAGCACGGGATAACCCATAGTCAGCATTATAATAAAAAACTGCCAAATATGAGTTATATCTCAATGCATTAATAAATATGATTTAAATGAAAAACTTGTAAAAATTTTCCAACATTTTTATTAATTTTTCAAATGTGTCCTTCATAAACAGTTGAAAAATGCACATTTGCTTTGACTCAGGTACATCATGCCAACTTTCAATGATGAAGCAAATAAAAACCTTCTTTGAAAGCTGCTTTTAAAAGATGACTACACAGCAATTAAAATTAATTAACAAATAAGTGTATTTCATTGTAAATGTTGTAATTTGAGCCAAATACAAGTTAGTGATGAAATATTCTTGGTCCGACCCTAAAATCTAAGCATTATTTTATCCCTGGAGCTGGAAAGAATGTGACCTTATATTGTAAATTAACAATTTGAAGATTTCTTGTCATTTTTTTTTTTTTAAATTTCTTTCATCTCATTTACAGAACTCTGTGAATGGTAAAAGGGGAATTTTCAACAATTGAACTCCATGTTGTCAAGGATTTCTTGTTTCTTCAGAAGAAAACTCACAGTGCAAACACTGGATGCCCATCCTGTTCAAGAGTGAAGAAATGGTGTACCCATCTTCCAGCACAGAGATTTTGAGACTTAAGTTTGGGAAGCTTTCAATGGTGTCAACTCCTGAAAAAGTTGATTACGTTCATGATTTAATTTTAGTCAACTAACAGATTTGGACCAAAAGAATTGCTGACGTACAAAATATCTGGAAAACACATTAGGTTTATAATTCATAAGTATTTGGATATGCAGAAATTTTAGCCAAGTGGCTGACAAAATGTTTGAATGTCAACTTTAAACAGTAAAAAAATGAACTCCTCCAAAATGGTTTTGCAGCAATTTGAGTGATCTAGTAATAATCTTTTAGAAGGACTTGTCACCAGTGATGAAATATGATTATAATTCTATGACTTGGAGACCAAATGGCAGCACTTAAAAATTTAAAACATAGGAATTGCCATGGTCTTTTTGGGATAAGGAAGGTATTTTGCTGACTATTTTCAGAAAATAGAAATAGGTAATTACTTACTCAGTCAATCAAAGGCATTGAAAGCAAAGAAACAATAGAAACTGAAGAAATGTGCTCTCTTTTTTTTCTTTTTTTTTTTTGAAGGACAACACACCTGCTCAGAAAGTTCACAAAACAATAGATGCTTTGATGAATGTAAGATTCAAGTATATAGACAATGCAACTACTAACCAGATCTTGCTACATCTACTTCCTGTTTCCAAAGCTTAAGAATGGGCTTTCGAAATAGGGAGGAAAATAAATGAAAGGGTCAAGAAGCAATGAACAGAGCATGTAGAATAGAATGTACATTTCATGAGTCAAGGTCATTCTCTTCTTAATCAAACAAAAATTTTTCTGCACCCATTTGTATTCTCTAAAATTTGCAATCCTACTGTGATAAAAATAAATATAAAAACTAACCAAGAGAAAGATTTGCTTGCATCAGATTTCTAATTATTTTGGGGGGATATTCAGAAAATATTTAAAACAAATCTGACATGTACATCTTCAAAAAAGAAAAGATTCAATCTGTTACTATAAATTCTCAATTTAAAAAAATTTGGTATCATCAAACAATTTTTCTTACAGATTGTTCAAGTACATAGTAAGTATCGTTCAAAGAAATAATTTTCTATCTATAGCCGTTCATCCCAATAAGCATAATTTCTATTTTATCTCTGAATTGAATAAGCAGGAAATTATTCCTGCAGAAATGACCTTCAAAAACAAAAACTAAACTTTAGTTAAAAGGATTGATAATTTTCCTTAAAAGAAAAAAAATATTTACCATAAACTATTGTGATTTCATGCAAATCAACTTCCTTCAGAAATAAAAAAAAATCTTAAAACAATCATTATTCTGATTCTAAATAATGCAACAAGTGTTTGGCAAAACAGTACAATATGGCCTCTTCATAAGTAAAGTAATTTTTCATATTGAACAGAACTATTTAATGAAGTGTTTTCAACATATTGTCAGGTTTCTTTGCCACACATTATGTATACATACATAGTTTTAAAACACTTTAGTTAATTACATTAAAACAAGTTCTCAAATGTCATTTTATCTCTGAAATCAGTTTTCCTTTTTTATACCAAATGTAAACATGCTTAAGCCAACTGGCATCAGAAATAAACCATACATACTAGTCTGCAATATAGTACCACAAAATAATACAAATACATTCTAATTATATATATATTCTAATGATATTAAAAATATTTGTTCAATTCTTGTAGTACCATTCATTCAAGAATTTTAACATCCTTAACATATAAAACAGCTAGTAGAAATTAGTACTCCACATAAAATCTCTTAAAATACCAATAAGTGGAACAATTACTATTTCAAGTGAATGTTTGAGTACAATAGTCATTCAATTATGAACATTGGGAATATTATCTTTAAAAATACAAAAGTATATACCCAGATTGCAACAACAGTTTATCTTGATTCCAGATTATAAATGAAAGAATGTAAATAAAATGATACAAATATTTTTCAAAATATCACAAACCAAACAATCAAAACAAACAAATTAGGCACAAGATATAGTGTTTTAAAACTATGTATGTATACATATGTGGTAAAGAAAACTGAGCATATGTTGAAAGCACTTCAATAAATATTTGAAACTATCAAGCATTCTTTACTATTCCATTAATTCTATATCCTCCCCCTGACAAAAGTTCACTTAAAGTATAATATGAAAACCATTCAACCAACATGATATTTCTGTAAACAAGAAAAAAAAAAAAACATGTATTTATTAAAAACTACAAACCTTGCTACAACTATTGGTAGAAGTTCCTTTATATAATGAATTATTTTTATCTAATTCACATTATCAGGAAATACAATTATAGTACATTTCATAAAAAGATCTAATAAAATTAAGGGTAAATGGATAAAAAGTAGTTTTGAAAATCCCTAAGAG